AAGATCGAAATCTTCTGAAAGTTAATGGTAAAGAAGATTTCGATCTTGTAGACTTACTGGTAGGGGAAAAAACCCTGAAAAGTCATTGCACTTTTGTACACATTTGTTCTAAAGTCCAAAGTTGTGCGTACACAAACAGTCTTGGTCATCAATAATTGTCACCGACTTGAATCTGGAGTAAAATTTCATGTATGTCTGCCACGACACAATTATCATGTTGCAGACAGCATGTATGATATCAAACCAGTTTGATATTGTCACCAATTGTTTTATCGTCTGCAAGACAAGTGTCATTATCCAATCAGATTCATTTTCTTATTTTTTAATTCTGCATACTACGTTTTTAAGAAGTTATAATCTGACATATAATTTGTAAATTCAGTTGCTACATGATGGAATCCAAGCTCTTTCCTATCTTGTGGAATTTTTAATTATGATTGCTGTGATTTGAAGTGACAAGTGAAGAGTCTGAAAAGTGTTTTTATCTGAGAATATGACATTCCCTGATATTTCATATATATATTAATGATATTAATAATCTTAATTATTCCTCTTTTATACCCTATTTTATGATCCAAGTCTCTTATTTTTATGAGTAAAGGAAATTAAATTCTAATTAATCTATCATTAACAGACTAAACCCAGTTTATAGTTCCTTATAAAAAGAAAACTAATTAACCAACTTTTGAACGGCCAGCGGTTCCAGTTAATTTAATTTAACCACATGAGTCGCTATAAATTAAATATAATTTTCCAAATTTATATTTCGCTCAGTTGACCTCTTATAAGATGGTAGTACTGTGTTCACTGTTTCTTGCCCTTTAAGATAACTATAAATTTCAACTTTTAAGATTTTGCTGGATTTTTGGTATTTGGTTTAGAAAAGGGACTTCATTAAACTCGGTTTGCAAACTAAACATGTAGGATGTTCAGAAATATAATGATCAGAGATTTGGTTCACAAATCTTACTTGATCTCCTAATTGCCTATCTGTGCACCAAACAGCTAATGGCTAAGGTTTGTTTAAGGTCAAATTTGAGCCATGTTTAATAAATGCTACAAGGTGTTGAAACTGAATAGCCTTGATGAGGTGAAAAATAAACTAAAGTAGCCAGAACCATGTACAGGTGAAAGATATATAGCTAGTTAATATACAACAACTATTCTTAATCATTCTATACAGGTAACTAGAGAATAAACAACTTTAATTGAATTTTCTTCTTTCTTTTCTTTCATCAATTCTACATCATTATCATCACATCAACGTTCTTCTGTCATTTGTCTTGATTGTATTTTGAGAC